TCCACACACACACACACACACGCGCGCGCGCGCGCGCGCGCACGCACGCACGCACACACACACACACACACACACACACACACACACAACTTGTACATAATAGAAATAATTGTTTTCAGACGCATAATATTTCGAAAAAGACTATAGAACAGGAAATTCGAACCATGCATGCGGCTATTCTAAAAATATCTGAAACATTGAAAAGCATGAATTATAAAATGCAAAAGTTTTTTTACTTTGCTTTATCTATATGTACACATTTATTGATAAAGTCGGTGAATATCCGAGAATTTGTTACATATATAGACGATTCATGTTTTATGTTATTCATATACATTTTTGTCCTTGTCTTGGGTCTTAGGATGGCTTTGGATCGTATTAATCGGTTTCATTAAGTAAGTTACAATATAATGTCTCCTATAGTACGTTATTAGTTACAGTTTTTTTATTCGACTCTCTTTGATAGCGCTCCCCTCTTTCTCGTCGCGCCCTCCTCTATTGTCGCGCCCTCCTCTATCGTCAGTAAGACCGATTTCTGTGGGATCTTCGGTCCCACATATGTACATCAAAGGCATAGATAATGGACTGCGCGATCCGTGTGTCAAAATGGTCGATAGGGATAAGAGAGAGAGACCGTGGCAGACGGCCATTTCTATCTCTTTCCATTCAATGGTGTAATGGGCAGGAGAATGAGAGGGGGATTGGCCGTCTCCCACGGACCTCTCTCTCATTATTGTCGACCACATTTGATACATTACTTAGATATGGATCGCGCAGTCGATTCTCTATGTTTTTGATACATATAAATATTTATAAAACACTTAAAATACATATAAAATATATAAGTTATTCATTCAAAAACAAAACAATATATAGCGCACGTGTCAAACTTTTCCTACACATACAATACCTACATATAACTGCTTGTGTCTTCTAGTACTTTATGATTGCACATAAACATCGCTTGGAACTGCCCTCAAATTTATACTTAGACAAAACTTTGTTTTCTAATCTACTTGGTGTAACAATCTAGGATAAGTCCTCACTCTTGTTTGCTTTTTCCATCTCTTCTGCTTCCTTTCTTACCTTATCTATCCTCTTCATTATCTCTATTCCTTTACCTTCTACCCCTATGAATTCTTCCATCTGCATTTCACTCTTTGTCTCCTCGCACTCCATCGCATAACGCGTGTACGCACACACACACCACACACACACACACACACACGCGCGCGCGCACACAATACTCGTATATAATAGAAATAATTGTTTTCAGACGCATAATAATATTTCGAAAAAGACTATAGACCAGGAAATTCAATCCATGCATGCGGCTGTTCTAGAAATATCTGAAACATTGAAAAGCATGAATTTTACAACGCAAAAGTTTTTTTACTTTGCTGTATCTATATGTATGCATTTATTGAAAAAGTCGATGAATATTCGATGGTTTTTTAGATATATATTAAATTTATGTATACTTGCATTATTAATTCAATTCATATATGAGATAGTTTTTGTGTCCATAACATCTCTTATAGTTTTTCTTATATGTATATTTTGTATTTATACGTATGATCGTATTATTATGAACAGACTAGCATAGCTAAGATTGCTTTCAGACACGGGTAATATCTCTAAACAATCAAGACTGAAATTGTTTTACCAATTGTTTTAGCATAAAAAATCAGAATAGCTTTATATAAACTTATTTTAATTTAATAAGATTGGAAATAAGACCGCTTATGTTATAAATATCACTTAAATACGAAGCGCCACTACGGTCTGAATGTTAAGATGTTGAACTATTATATATATTCATATTAAATAAATTTATTTCAAAAATCATAATTACATGCCGATATGGTTGTCGGACTTTCAACGCAATCAATCTGAAATATTAATAATCCCCGCAAATTTCCCAAATTTAATCTCAAAAAACTGTAATAAACTTATTTTAACACACACACACACACACACACACACTTTATATAAACTTATTTTATATTTTATATAAACTTATTTTTATTTTTAAACACTATCTGATTTCTGTTTTTCCTCTGATAATATATATTGACAATGTAAGTTGGTGTATTAATATGTAGTAGAACGTAATTTAGGATTATTAATATTTTTAATATTTATAATAGATTGGAATATTTTATATTCTGATTTACGATATATTATTATGTTTTACACTATCAATCTTAAGTTACTAATTTTTGAATTATTGATGCCTTATTAGAAAAAAAATATTTGTTGCCCATGTATATACATATTTATTAACTTCTAATTGTGCTTATTTTTGTGTTTTGTGTGGATGAGTGAATACACAGTAGAAAGAAATACAGTAAAATGAATGTAAAACGTAGAAGAAATCTGTGGGTAGCCGAATAAATACATAAATGTACTGCTTAACGCGTGTACACGCACACGCACGCATGCACACGCACGCACGCACGCACGCGCGCACACACACACACACACACACACACACACACACACACACACACACACACACACCACACACGTATAATTGAAATAATCATTTTCAGGCATATAATACTTTGAAAAAGACTATGGATAGAATGGAACAGCAAATTGAATCTATGCATGTGGCTATCCTAAAAATAATTGGAACATTCAAAAGTACAAAAATTAAAATTCGAATTTTTTCTATCATCGCTACTTTTATACTTTGGGATCTATTATTTCATGTGATAAATGATGTAATAATACGTATATGGCCATCGGATTTATCCTTATTTCCACATTATTTTATAAATTTTCTGGGGTTAATACTTAATCTTATTGTGGTATTTTTATATTATCTTTAAGCATTCTTGAAACATTTAGAGAAATAATAATGAATTCTAAATTTTAAAGAACAGTATTTAATTGATGATAAGTTCTAGAATAGCGCTAACTTTGTCATTATTTATATTATTTAATCCTGTTAATTTTTTCAAATTTATTTGACTGAAAATGTATAATTTATTTTCTTACTAACGTCTTATTTAAAATTTTTTCTGATATTTGATGACTTGTCTGTTAATGTCACATCTGTTTTTGTGAATTTTTTTTTATTTTGTAGGCCATTTTATATATATAGTCTTATTTACTCAAATTACGATCGCCAGGGTTGGGGGGGGGTAAGTTAATTTTTTCTTTTAACTAAGTTAAGTTAAAGTTAACAACCTTGAAAATTTAACTTAGTTAAGATACAAGTTAATGTATAATGAAATTAAAATATAATATAATTATTTTATTTAAACTTTTTGTTTTTATATATATATATACTGTTATATATATATATATATAGATTTCAACCTATCAAAAAAACTAGACACATTAAAATATACGGTTTTTGCTAGATATTGAAATTAATATATAATGTAAATAATATATACAAACAAAACTTTTAAGTAAAATGTAGAGTATATTCTAAATGAAGTATATGTTTGAGTCTCTGAGACTTAACTTCAAAAAATTTAAATAAAAGTTAATAGTTATCGATAAAATGTAACTAAATTAAGTTAAAAAATTAAGAGTCTAAAATGTAACTAAGTTAAGTTAAAATTATTTAACTTTTCAACTTTTTAACTTAACTTTTAGCTTTTTAACTTGGCACTACCCAACCCTGATGATCGCATAATAAATTTGAACAGATTAGCAGAGCTAAGATTGCTTTGAGAATCAAACAATGTCTCTGAACAATCAGAACTAGAATTGTTTTAGCAATTGTTTAGCACAACGGAAAATCAGAATAGCTTTATATAAACTATCTAATTCCTTTTTTTTCTAATGTAAATGGCAATGTAAATTAGTGTAATAACGTAACTTAGAACTTAGAACGTAATTTAGGATTATTAATATTTTCAATATTTATAATAGATTCTCATATAATATTGTGATTTTCGCTATATTATGATATTGTAATTTATACTATTAATCTTAAGTTACTAATTTTTTAATAATTAGAATTAATTATATTATAATGTGATAATATAATTATTTATTTTCAAAACAATTAAAATATTTATTATTAATTATTTAATGTTAATAATATATTCACAGTTTTTATTTATAATAAATACGAAGCATTATTTTACATTATTAATATTAATTATTAATTTTTGAATATTTTAATTAGTATGTAAAGTAATTAAAATCATAGTATATAATTTTATAACGTAAAGTATTGTATAATCATAATGTTACAATTATATTTCAATCATATATAATGTTTATTATTAATACTTTTATTATTAATTAATTGATACATATAAAAATAAGTTTACTACAATAAATAATAACGGTTATTTTATTTACATTATTATTCTTCTCCAATCATGCTTATAAGCAAATTATTTATATAAGTTATTATTTTCAACATAGGATTTATTTACTAATATACGCCTTTATAAACTATTAAATAGACAATGATTTTGGGATAATATTTTTCATTTATAATTCAGCAAGCTAAATGTTAGGACAGTATGCGAGCAATTTGTCAAATTATTCAAAAATTAATTTTGTATAGTGTCTTACACCTTACCGGTAGAATATCAAAAGAAATCTGCTAACATAATAACAGAATCTCCTAACAGTACATGGTAACAGAAACCGCGGAGTAAAATCTGTCATTTTGTAATTATACAAATGATATCTTTTATTTAAATAATTACGAAATACAATTCTAAATGAATAGACAGTTTAAATGACGGTATGCCGGAATTCCTTAAAACCTAAAAAAAGGAAAACCTAAATATCGATAATGTTCAGACTAATTACAAACCGTACAGAAGCGCGTATGACACGTGCTTTCTATTTTTTTTAACAACGACTGACCATTGTCAGACGCGTACGTAGACACGTGTCGATTAGACTGCTAAGGAAAATTGTGCAAAGTTTACAAAAAAGGAAGTTAGAAACGATTTAAAATTCTATTGTAAGTTTTCCAATGGGATCGTATTCTATTGACTGACAAAATCTCCATTCTAAGTTTCCCTGCGTCCATATTATGCCATTAGAGGTGGAGCATACGACCGGGGGCGATAAGTGTTATCATGTTGAATATCTGGAGACGCCCGTCAAATCGGAAACATTATAAGAAAGAATACACATAAGGCAGAGTCAAGCCCTAGTGAAAAAATCACGTCGCAAAGTTACATAACGGAGAGAAAGAGAGAGAGAGAGAGAAATCATGTAATTAAAACAATTAAATCCCGTAATTGATTGTTATTCCAAATCAGTGTTTTTTAAAATCACGTAATTTGAAAAATCAAATGATATTAGAAATAATTTTCTCTATTATTATGATTTTGTAGTTACCGAATTTTAAATAATTAAATGATAAAAATAGAAGAAAGAACATATCGTGTGACTTTCCAAATTATGTAATTTAAAAAATTACGTACCGATTTCGAATAATCAGTTGTGTGATTTACTTGTTTTAATAACATATGTAATTTCGTTACAAATATAATTTTATTACGTGTTTGTTTCAGTACTCGCATTTTTTTCGATCGAAATATAGGTGTGAAATATTTTCGAACGGTAATTTTTTGAGAGAAATGTTACAATTTTATAAGGGTTAGGTTTTCTTATTTTTGAGTATATATTGATTCTCGATCGCTTTTATTGATCATATATGTCCTTAGAAGTTTACATAATAACACTGTACTCATTAGAATGCCGACATCCTATTAGTATTTCATGATATCTCGAGATGTTAAGATCGTAATGTGACTTACAAGTTTTTGGCATTAACGATCTATGTATTAATAATTTAACTGATTATTGAGGAGAATTACGTTTTTATTAGCATAAAACTTTAGTTTATATGGTAAGTCTTTAAAAACAAAATACTTTTGCGACTTGCAAAGGCACATACAGGACACGAACGATTTTATTTCCGATCAAACCGTTTTTATCAACTATCGAAATTGTTAATGCATTTTTAAAATATAAATTGTATATTTTTATTCTTCCTACATATATTATTTAAAATGTAAACTATATTTTTATTTTTTTATATATTACACTCAATTGATATAAAGATTATTTCAGCAATATAATAGCATATATTTTAATATTTCAAGAATATAAATTAGGTCAAAAATATTTTTACTTATAAAGTATCAGAGCAGGTATAAAATAAATGTGAAATTGCATTTCGTACAATTATTCGTTAGTTGTTCGTTCATTTAACTGAAATAATAATAATAATAATAAATCTGATAATAATGAATAATAAACGGAACAACATGTTTATGAACATATTTCGAATTGTCATCAGTGAATAACATCACTAATAATTGACCTTGTTTTAGAAAATCATATCACATCTTTATAAATCAGTGCCTGATTCTAAATTTCTAAGTTCGAAGTATTAAAAAATTAATCAAGTTAATTTTTAATTAGATTTATTTTGATATGCAAAAAATAATTCATTAAAATATTTACAACTTTAACTTAAAAAAATGAGCGTAAAATCGAAATTATAACTTAGCACACATGCATATATGCTCCATATCCAAAAATAATTTTCTACAAAATTATTAAAAATGTATATACTTTCATACTTTTTCCGTTATTTTCATTTGAATTTTTATAAATTGAATTAACGATTAACCCAGCTGTATTTCAACGATTAATAAAAAGCTATTATAAATTTCTTCCAGTAAAAATGCAATACACATTAAAATCTATGATAAAAATTCCTGTAGTTTTGATACATTTTCTTATCAGTAGGCATGATATAAATTCTGTTCATATTTGTCATTTTTCGAACAAAAAGTCATTACTTTGCAGAAATATTTAAAATAGAAACGATCATGGGCTTTATAAGAGAGTTATTTTTAATAATTTTTGTCATGATAATTTTTGAATTCAAATATAATTATTTCATGACAAATGGGAAAAACGAATTCCGTTCTGCAGTTGAACAAATTGACCGTTTACCAACATATATAGTACCCACGAATTATAACATCAAGTTGATACCAAATTTCGGACAGAACTATACGTTAGAAGGCGAAACCAGTACCAGGATCCATATTTATAAAAAAACGCAATGTATACATTTACATCAATATTTTTTGTTTATATTTAATACGCCCACATTGATTAACGAGGATAACGGCAACAGCTATGAGATATTATGGGAACAACATATGTATAATTCTACATCGCATATATTAACATTTTACCTCACGGAGGCTCTCTCGCCTGGGTTTTATATTCTGAATATGAAATTCTACGGTATGCCGGTTCATCCCAAGGAAAATGTTTTAACATTTGCACTTACAAAAAGAATACGAGGTGTAATGTGAGTAAATATTAAGAGATTAAAAACGCACCACATATTATATATTGACAAATGTACATTTACCAGCTCTTAATATTTCTTAATTAATTACACAGGCCTGCGAAAATGAGACTTTGGAAAATCCACTGAGATGTAGGAGTGGTTTTCGATTTTAAATTCGTAGCTTTAAATCTGTGGCCAGATTCGGATTCAGCGCAAAGAATTACGTCAACAACCACCTTCATATCTCAGTGGACCAAATCTCGTTGGACTGTGTTATTGAAGACTCTCCATTATCTTTCATTGAAATTGCAGATGGTTAAACGCAGTGCATTTTCAACCTATTAGGGGCCGACGACTATTTCCATGTTGGGATGAACCAGCATTTAAAACCACTTTTAAGATTTCCATAAAGCATCATAAAGAATACATGGCTTTGTCGAATATGCCGAGTCAAACCTTCGAGCTTGCGGATAATAATATGATTTGGACACATTTTCACCCTACTCCGTTAATGTCAACATACCGTGTGGCAGTTGTGCTGGCTACTTTTCCCTTTGATGGTATTAACGCATTTCACTTCGAACGTGAAACTGTATGGTGCAGAAAATATTCCGCACCATATACAAAATTTGTGAAGACTATATTTACACGTGTTACATCGCATTTAAGAATTAGGTTCAATATAAAAATCGCAAAATTAGATCACGTTGTTCTGCCAGAATCCAAAAGTATGTGGAATTGGTATTTGCGAGATGGCATGTCGCAATGGGGATTTATTTTTTATAGGTAAAATATATACATTATTAAGACAGAAAGAGAGAAGAGAAGATATTAATGTGTTAATATTTTTATCCTTATATTGGTTTAAAGGAAAAAAGTATGAACATGCAACGTTAACATTTAAAATTCATTAAAAAAAATTTTTATATTTATATTGTTTCTCATGTTTACCTAATCTAACGAATGAAAGTAAAGCGTTACTTGTAACACCGTTACCGTCATAAATTACTTTTTTGATAACTAGTACTTTTTTTTTAACACCAGCCTAGTTACATCTTTTTCATAATGGTAATGAATTTTAAATGAAGTTATATTTATCATTATTTTCATTATATTAAGCATATTTATACATACGTAATTTTTATAATTATATTCAGTATTAAGAATCTTTATTTTAGACCGCATACGTGACAAACACAATCAATACAAGAAATTTAAAATGTCTATTACGTTTGAAGCTGAATCTTTATTGCTTTAAATAATTCAGTGTTGAATTACTAATATACACTGTATATGTACTTATATATATATATATATATAAAAGACTACAATATGGTATATATATATATATATATAAAAGACTACAATATGGTATATATATATATATATATACCATATTGTAGTATAAACTGTTAATAAATTTACTGCGAAAAATATTACCACAGTGCTGTAATGGCTTAGGACGCTCGTACGGAATACAAGAGATCCGGGTTTAATTTCCGGACGAGGTAATATTTTTCGCAATAAATTTATTAACTGTTTCAACATATTAACATCTTCATAATATGATGCTTGATGATAGCATTAAATTACTAAATTGCTTGTCAATTTAATTCGCGATTACTAGAGTAATTTTGATTGCGTTTATAGTGCGGAAAAACAATTCGATGCAAAGTTTGAAAAAACTACAATATAGTATATATGCAAGTATCTACATCGTGTACATTAGTAATTCAAGATTGATTTATTTAAAGCAATGAAGATCCATCTTCGACCATAATAGGCATTTTAAATTTCTAGTATTGATTGTGTTTCTTATATTTAATCTTGAATCTTGGACACCTTGCTTGAAAAGTCCGATAGAATTAGACAACAAAAACCTATCTAATTGAATCATATTTTCGCAAATTTCCGTTTACTTATTTAAAATATTTATATAAATTTACTCTCTTTGAAACATTGTTATGCAAGTATGTACAAAGCTTGAACCGATAAAGCATTTCGCTTCTTAGTTATATTTGTACATATCGGTCTAATGTCATTAATGTTTATCGCTTTTATTGATATTTAAAAAAATGTATTATAAAACTTTTTGGACAGATCTTATTTTAGCATTAAAAAAGTAACGGAACAATAACGAACAATTACTTTTTAAGTAATGATAACGGTAACGAATTATTTATGAGACTCACTAACTAGTAATGATAATTAGTTACTATTTTAACACGGTAGCGAGTATTAACGGTAACTAGTTACTTTTGAAATTAACTTTCCATTTTCTGATGGGAACATAACATATAATTGTATTATTTATAAATGATTTTTAGGGAAAGGAGAATTATGTATAATGAAGCTATAGATCCTCCTTCACATAAAATAGAAGTTACGCGATTAGTGACATATGAACTAGCACATCATTGGTCGAGTAATTTCATCACATTATCTTCGTGGTCTTATTTATGGATAACCGATGGTATTGCAGGATTGCTTACAGTAGATGCTATTAATAAGGTTTTCTTATTTACATATATCTTTTGCATTAGCTGAAGAGTTAATTTAATTGTAATTAAAGGGAATTAGAGGATATTTAAAAAAAGAATATTTCTAGATTCAATGTATAAAATCACAAAGTTATGCAAATCTTTTAACTATTAAGAGTAGAATATCGACCGTTCAATAATTCCTAATTTTTGTAAAATCTGAAATATAAGAAAAGATAGAAAATAGCATATTTAAATCAAAATAATAATTAAAAGTTAATGGTGATGCAAAAAGTAAAATTATTTGTAACAATAATGATAAATGCAATGCTATTTTGCCATTACACGTACATATTGCAGTTAATAATGTAAATAGCTAAATAAATGCGTCTTTAAAAGATAACCTTCAGGCGTCTTTAACGTACCTTGTGATATAAAGACGTCTTTAAGATGCATGTTGTTTATTAGTTATTACGCCAAGCATATTTTCTGATTGAATATTTGTTTAATCACATTAAGAATCATTATGTCCAGATTTTGACAGGTTCTCCGCTATCAGATTTATTTATGGTTCAGATTCAACATGATTCTCTTAACTTGGATACCCACTCCCTTATGAAACCTCTTCAACGAAAAATTAATGACATTGCTGATATTGATTTGCATTTTATTTCTGTTTCTTATATCAAAGGTAGAGTTGAATAAATAACTCCATAAATTTTTATACAAGCGCACACACACACTCACATGTATACACACATTCATACTTTCTTTTTTTTCTGAATATAAATGCGAGGAAAAGGCTGAGGGCCTTAAAGAAAATTTGTTTATTCTCTTTGTCTTACAGGTTATAATTAACTTTGTATGAAAAAAATTTTAAAACTTGTAATAAACTATTTTAAATAACGTAATTAATTAAATTCGACAAATTTACGCTATAATAAATTCATGTTAAATATAACTTATTACATTTTATATTATAAATGTTTATAGCACCTGTTATATTTCGTATGCTTCAACATATACTTACTGATGTGGTATTTTGGGAGGGGATCAATAAGTATTTAAACATGAAGTAAGTAGTAACTTCAAATATAATTATATTAGAAATTAATTCATCTTATATGACATTATTACTTTGTTTTGAGGTACATTTAATACATTTACAAGCGACTTATTATTTAATTGACTTACTGCTATTTGATTTTGACTTTTCGATCTCAGATAGAGCTCTAGCCTTAAAAGCGTAGTCGACTTAAAATATATTAAGTGTGTGATATAAATTATAAATTAAATTTATATATAAATTATACTACAATTGCGTATACTAAAATACAGCGAAATTATATATTAAGTATATAAAACATGATTGTAATTTATTATAATATTTGGTATCAATTAAATTTTAAGATTTAGTCAACTTAGCTCTCAAAGCTCTGCCTCTGTTTTATGGACCACTATGCAAAGTGCTCAAACTAAATCGAGTTCTAAGTACCTGCCTAACTTAATAAGCATAATGCGTAATTGGACAATGGCGAGTCAGTACCCTGTGGTAAATGTGATTCGAGAGAGCTGGAGTGGCAATATAATAATATCACAGGGAAAAAACACATGGTGGGTACCTATAACTTATACTACACGAACAGAACTCAATTTCAATGACACTGTGCCTCGCCATTGGCTAACCCCAGATGTTCAGGAAATAATTATTTCAAATATTGCACAATTTGATTGGATTATATTGAACTTGCAACAAACTGGTAAGTATTAACTTATAACTTTGTGAATTAGTGTATTTGCTTCCATAACATAATTTAATTTTAATATTTTTATTTTTAATATATTACTATTAATTTTAATGTTATTATTTTATTTATTTTTTTAATGCAAATTTAAAATATTTACATATTATAAAATCATAATATTATAATATTGTGTAAGATTTCTAACACGTAAAATTTATTTTATTTTCTTTATGTTGTATGTTTGTGCGTATATGCGGCGTACAGATATTAGAACTCTATGCTATTTGTCATGTCCTATATCAAACAATAGCAAACCCTGTCATGTGCAATTTAATACATTAAATTAATTATTTATTTCAGTGTATTATACATATAAAATTATATCCTTGCAATTCCAATAAAAATCTTTTTTAAACGATATATACTGTTTGCAATATTTTACAAAAAGTATATGTGTATATACATATATATACATATATATTCTTTGTTTTATAAAATTAACGCAAAAGATCTAATCGATAATATTTTTATTTGTTATATAACAGGCTACTATCGCGTTAATTATGAACTAACAATGTGGCAAAAAATCGCCTATTATTTAAATTCTGACAATTATAAAAACATACATGTTCTCAATCGTGCTCAAATTCTTGACGATGCGTTTTACCTTGTAATAGAAGAGAAATCATTAAATTTGTCTACATTTTGGAAACTTAGCCATTATCTATCGCGAGAGACAGACTATGTAGCATGGTATCCTATGATCAAAGCTTTTGAATATCTGTCAATTTTTATTCCATTTTCGAAAATTGGACTGGAGGTATATAGTAAATTTCGCCAATGAAATATATTATACTGTTTTATAAACAATATGACAGTTGCTTCTATTGATATTTGACGGATAATTAAAAATTATTATTAAAAAATTATATTTTTTTAATTTTTAAATAATAATTTAGAATAACAACAAATTATCTGCTATCTAAAATGTAATTATCTAAAATAAATATGTATAACAATTATAGTTTATAATATATTCTAAAAATGTACTCAATAATTTTGCAAGAGACAAAATTAAAGAAATTTAGTAAAAAGTCATGTTTTTTTAGTAGAATCTGTAATAAAGTTAGAAAATGTTTATAATTTTATGTATAAATTTTTACATCTTATTACATTTAGATTTTTTAATAATTTCTTTACGAAGAATTGAACCTTTTAAAATACTTATGGTATGCAACGACAATACTATGTATTTAGCGTGTATACTACGTATACTTAACACATTGTTTTCTTTAAAAATAGTTATGACACAATTGACAAAGTTTTTATAAATAATTTATTTAATAATTTTTAGAAAGAAATGCGTATAATTTTGCCTACGCTTTTTAAGGAAATAGGATATCAAGAAATTACTAATGAAGATGATTTTACTAAATATTTAAGACAAGAAATTGCAAAGTGGGCATGTGTGCTCGGTGACTCCGATTGCAGAATTAATGCCGCATCTAAACTGGAATGGCACATTACAAATCCTGAAAAGCACAAGTACACATTGTATTGATTGGTTTATTTTTCGGTCTTAACCGTAAAATCAAAAAATTTAGCCAATAGGTCTGCCAGTCTTAATTAGTCCTATTGAAATCTGTATTCCATTGGCTGAATTTTAGGATTTTAAGTTAAGACCGAAGCATAAACTACGCATATATATATATTATATATATATAT